GAATTTATGTATGACTGTTTAGTACAGATATTCAATAGATGGTAGAGGCTAAAAATGTGTATTATGCTCAACATTTACACAGAAGGGAGTGTCAAGCAGCAAGCCATGTACAGAGGTAGTCTAAGGACACTGGTTCCCTGGATGTGCAAAAACACTACTTGTAAATCTGGAGTTGATCTAGTTCCAGTTTTATATGCTTTGTTCACTCTGTCTTCTCCAGTAATAGAATATTTTATGTATAAAGAATTTGAATATTGTGTTTTAATATTTCTTTATTTCAAAAGGAAATTCCTTCTTGTTGAGATTTATCTAAATGAGGGAACTCAAATTTACAAGCAATTAAATCTTTTTAATGATAACATCAAAACTAATTTTTTACCCTTATTTTTTCACTTTTGCTTATCCTCATTTTATAAGAAGTGAGAAATAGAATATTGGGATTTTGGAATAAAAGATGGCAATTATTCACTCAGTTATTCATTAGAAAGTAGAAAGGTTCATAAACACACAAAGCGTGGGAACTTCTAAAGATAACTCCACCTCCATATTTTTTGGAGGAAATGATTTTTGTCTCTTCCAAACAATGACGCTTAACACAAAAGAAAGTTGGCACATTTTCGGTAAACAGCATTTTCCTGGTAGTGCAAAATCTACTGTGCATTCCTTTCAAGCCAGACTTTTCAGTATCATTTGATCTGCAAAACATCAAAGTATCCTCTAGAGTATTGTATTTACATCTTTAGAGTGTTTGGACCGAAAGGAATTTTCATCTTTATTTAAAGTTATCTTTATAAAATCAAAAATATTTCTTGCAATGTTTTGGATTATGCCTGGCTACAGGGGGAAGAAAAGTAGCAGATTACACATGGAAGATGTACAATGACACGTTTGATACTGATATTCCTAATAAGTATATCTCGAACACTGAAAAAGAAAAGAGGCTCGAAATAGGAAAAACCAACCATCCACTTCTCCATGTATGAATTAGGCAGTGGAAGAAAAAAATAAAAATCTCAACTACCCTTTAGTGTGGGAATTATTTTAAAAAGGTATTCTAGCCTTTACAGGTCCACTTGGCTTTCCTACAGAGACTGAAATCTGAGAACATAACCAACAGGTTAGGTCCAATAAGATTGTTGCCCTTGAAGGAACGAGATGGATTCCATTCCTTTGCAGGCTCAGAATGGAGAGCTCTGAGCATCCTTGGTGAGTGGACTGTGCATAACATGAGTTTTTGCCATAGACAGCAGTTCTGGTTGGATGACAATGCTGGTCTTGGAGCTGGAGAAGAGCAATCATTTGCTGGGGCTTGGCATATTCCTAATTGCTCATGTTAAGTTTTTTTAAAATGTCACATACTATGTACCCTCTAAGGAATGCTTTCAGACTAACATTAGCCTCTGTCCTGATAAAACTCTACTTCAAGAACAAGTTAAAGCATTGAAAGTGTATTTCTGAGATTTTCTATGAGTGAACAAACATTAGAATGCATCACAAATTAAAGGATTAAATGCTCATGAGAACAAAAGCCATAACTTAACTTATGGCTACTAAAAACCATTAGGTAATCCTTGTGAGATATTGTTTCACATATGCCTTGCCACACATTAACCCTTAATAAATAAGCAATTTTGGCAATGAAGTACTCTTTTCTGTGGAAAATATGATCTAATTGTTTAAAAATATTTACATATTCATATTTCCAAATGATTAAATAGATTAAGGTACTTTTCTTATACTTATTTTGTTTCTGCATATTTTTTTGCCACACTGGGGATTAAACTCTACCACTGAGCTACATCCTTAGCCCTTTTATTTTGTTTTGAGACAGGGTCTCACCAAGTTGCTGAGGCTGACCTTGAACATGCCATCCTCTTGCCTCAGCCCATATAGGTATATGCTACCATGCCTGGCTATGATTTTATTTTTAATAGAAGAAATAGAATTTTAATTTTAACATTTCTGTGTCCTCTTGTAGACAGACTATAACTACATTTATCAATTTTGTAAACTCTGGTATTTTATGGGCAAGTTATTTATTCATATTTAGCATGATTACCAATTTATTTGGATTTATTTCTAGCCTACAATTTGTAAAAAACTTTACTTGATTTTTCTATATTCCTTTTTCTTTTTTTTTAGTTAATTTTAAAAATTTTATCTGTTTTTTCTTCTGCCAGATTGGAAATTATGCATTCTACTTCCATTCTTTTAGTACGTAGAAAATTTAACATGCACATTTCTCTTAAAGTCTAATCTTAGTTTGTATTTCTGCCCTTTTCATGACTAACATAGAAATATTTTTTAACTCTCTTCATGCTTTATTATCATTGTCCAGTACTTTAATTCTACCCTAATTCTTTCATTTCTTTTCTTGCTATTATTTATTATATTTGACTCTTCTTTTCTGGATTAAATCTCCTTGCAATTTGGTAAGATCCTATTGGTATTAAATTCTTTCATTTTTTGTTTGTTTGAAATGTTTACTCTTACCCTCATCCTTGTATGATGGATTTGCTGGGTTTAGGGTTGTCAAGTCCCCCCATCCCCCAATCCTTTCTAGGTATTATTCTACTGATTTTTGGCCCTATTGTATTTTTGTATTGTTATTGTTTGTTTGTTTTGTTCTCAGTTAACTAGTCTTTTGCTAGTTAATCTGATTGTTAACATCATCTCTTTGGTGTTTTCCACAGATGTGTCTAGCTGTGGATTTAGGTTTACTTACCTAGCCTTGGATTTATGGTGCCTTTCAAATTTGAAGCCCATGTCTTTCAATGACTTGGAAAATATGTAGCCATCTTTTAAAGAATATTTCTTTTCCTCACATTGTTTTTTCTTCTAAGTCATCCATTAAACATTTCATGGGGGTATTTAAATATTATTCTTCATGTCTCTTCAGCTTGATCTTTCAGGTAATCTCATCAGTTCTATCTTCTAATTCTCTAATTACTGAGCTATGTTTACCTTTATAAACCTGCCTGGTAATCTTTTTTTCCTTTTAGTGTCTACATATTATTTTTTCATTTTAATGTCTATATAATATGTTTATTTCTAATACTTTTTGGTTTGATTATAAATATTCTTAGTCTTTTTTTGATAATGACTTGTTGTTTTGTTGATTATTTTACTTTATAGTTTGTGTGCTAAATTATTTTTAAAATCCTACGTTCATAAGTTTATGTTATTTTAATTTCTTGTGGATCTGTTTGTACTATTGGTTGCTTTCCCTATTTTTCCTTATCATATTTTATTTAATTGTATGTCTTATAATTTTGATTTGTGCATTTACATTTGACTGAGTGTTTTTCTGGAAATTCTGTGAGGCCTATATGGAGATTATGTGCATTTGGAAATTATTGCCGCTGTTTCTATAAAGAGCAGTGTGCTATCATCTTGATACTTCACTTAGGTTAATTACCCTATCTGGCAATTTCTGATTTTAAAATTCTTGGGTTTCTCACCTTCAAATACTTGAGAGCATTTTTTATCCCACAAGGAGGACAGATTTAGACAAATTAATTTCCTATTACATTCCTTTTTAGAAGGCAGGTTTATTTTTGAGGTTTACTTTTTTACTGTTAAGTATATCCCCTATGGATGTTCACTTTATGGAAGGTCTCAGTTTCAACTTATGGTTCTTGCAAGCCCAGGATTTGTGTCTAGTATTTATTAAAACACAAGTAATACTTGATTCTTTGGTCTTATGCTTTATTAAATTTTTGAGCACCAGAATTTCCTTTCCTTTCTTTTTTACAAGCTCCATTCTACATGTTGTTTCACATTTTACCCAGTGTAACTGGTTTTGTGGTGGAAGGTTTTTCAGGTTATATAGGTCTGCTGTATTTCATAAATTCTGTGTATGTCCATGTGGATGTATGCCTACAAAGAATATACCTTTTAAACTTGAAGAATCTTCTCTCACAAAGTCAAAACGCCATGTATTTTAAACAACTGTGCAGGAATTGTCAGTGACTTAATATGTTGACAGGGTGGTATTGTATGTGAAACTGAGAATATTAGGAGTTATTTTTATCATACTACCTGAGGCTCTCATATCAGATTCACACAGAAGTGTGTTTATTAGTAAGCCATATAGTTAATTAAGTGTATAACTTTGTATATTGGCTAAAAACATACTTATTTTCCCAGTATAATCAGAAAAATGTGTCATCTATTATAGTAAAAATGGGGGGAAAACAGCAAACTTTTTAAAGCTTACAAATAGCTGTTTTTCTGAGCCTGGGTTCTTTCAATTAGTAGCAGGATTCTACTACCGTCAAGAGTTACAATTCACCAAAAGGGTATAAGGAAAAGATCAGTTTTCCTAAATTCTTATTGTTATGGAAAAGTCCTGGTATAATAATTTTGAGAAGAAAATGTTGACTAAAATCAAAATATGAATTACCCCAATAAGATATCCTAAAATATAAGTAATACCTAGGAGACTAGACTTCAGGAATCATTCAATGTCCTTACTGGGACTATGGGTACAAATGAGATATGTGCACGGTAAGTATATTGACTTGTCTGAAGGAAAACTGTCACTCATAGACCAATACCAATTACCATTTTTCAGAAGTATAAAGTGACCTAACCTTTAAATGTCTCAAAATTTCCATCTTAACCCATTAACTTCTAATTCTATAAAAATTTCAACAAAATTGACACAAGTGCACTAAAATAGGTTGGAAATCCAAATCAAGAGTTTATATATTTGACTATATTAACTAATATTATTATACATTAAGAATATCAACAGTAATTTAGTATTATTTAATATTAACATTAAGTGTTTTATATAATTATATTGAATATTATATAATTTTGTTATATATTATATAACTTTATTTAAGTTTTTAATATGTGTTTCACACCTGGGACAATTGGGACAAAGTAGGTTAAATCTACCTGTCAGAGGTACATGGTGATTTTACTTACACAAAACCTCTTCCCTAGCACTAGAATGTGCATAACATCCAGAACTTGGCTAAAGATCATACCTCATTTTTTTCTTTGAGTTTTGTGATCATAACAATCACAGGGCTGTCTTCCTGCCAAACCATCTGCCAGAAGTCATTCACGGTGTTGATCATGGGACCCTGCGTGGCAATGAATGCTTTCTCCTTGCCACTGTAGCCCTAGTTGGAGTAAAGATACAAACATATTGTCTTTTAAGTTGATGCCTTGCAGTGAACATTTAGGGGAAAGATCTTTGGCTGTCCTGGTCCAAAGGCAACATGGTTGCAAGAGCTTCATTGATTCTAGCACCATGATGCATGTGGCTGTTTTCCTAGCAAGTTCAGCAGGGCATTTGGTACTGAGGGTTGTAATTCTCCATCCTCACCAGAGCACCTGTGTGGAGACCGTAGTCAGGGACTAAAAGGAGGACTCACTGTGAAGGATTCACACAGGGTTGACGAATTACAACAAACAGATACCCTTGCTAGCAACCAATTGAAATCAAACTCTGAGAGGTGAAGAAAAGCAAAACTCAACCTAAAATCAATAATTCAAAGTATGTCGACATGCTCACCAGAAAGAAATTTCTATTTATTTACTTACCCTAATATAATTAGCATTAATGTAGGTGCTCAGTGAATCAGTTACATTCTTTGGCCTTAAACACACTCTGCTGTGAGGATCTAATGGAGGAAACAAGAAAAAAATACATTAAATAAATATACTCTTTTAAAATTTCTTAAAACACCTATAACCTGCAAGTGGCACACTGGTTAACTTATACACTGATTGTCTGGCATGTGCCAGTGTTGGCCCTTTATACATGTTGTCTTCGTCTCTTGAGCCATCAATGTTTACTAAGGGACCTTTGGGCCCATCTTAACTTCTGCTACTGACATAAATCTTGTCCATGAGGAAGAGATGATGAGTTTATGCTTCTTGTCATTTTTCATGGGCTTTCGATACTTGACCCCATCTCTCATGTATATCCTCATTTTCTTGGCATTTGGAATTTGAACCAGGTTTCGGTCTTCCTATCTTTCTTCTATCCCTTCAGAGGTGAATCACCTGGCCTTCCTTCATGAACTTGGACCCTGGCCAGACCCCCTGATTTCCTGAGATAGGCAAGACTATTTCACTAGGTGCCTGACAGTGTCTATCAGTGTGGGGATGGAGGGTAGAGCAAAGCAACAAAAGAGGGAGCTTTTAAAGAGAACCACAATTCATTTCAGTGAGTTCCCAGTCTGATCATAAAATTACCAACAGCCTGTGCTGATTACCCAATAGATGTCAGAGTCTGTTCACAATACTTTACAGGTGTGATGTTGTTTAGTCTTCATAAGTCATTCATAAAAATACCTAAATTGATACCCCCAACTTTCAAATAGCAAACAAACAGAGAAGTTAAATTACTTGCCCAAGAGTACACAGTCAGGAAGTAAGTAATGGAGTCAGGCTCTGAACATCTGCTATCTACTCTAGAGCATCCTTAGACTATGCCATGTTGCTTCCCTAATGCTGGCAGCCACACGAACTGATAATTACATTCCACGTGTTACATCCTAGGAGTTGCCTAGTTTCTTCCTGAAGTAATAGAAAATTCAATGCTTTTCAGCATTTCTCAGTGGAAGGTGGTATAAAAACTGGGCTGTAGCAAGGAAGCACCCCGCCTTCTATACGCATATCCTGAAGTAAGACAGTCTGTGTGTAAGACAAGGAGACAATCTCTTTTATTCACAGGCCAAGCTGAGAAAATCATAGATAAAGTGAGGTAGGGAGAACTAGAGGAAGAAAGTTGCATAGAATACGTGTGAGTGGAGTTAGAGGTAATTGAAAATGTAACAAATCTGGCCCAACCAACATACATTTAATATTTATTATTTAAATTTATATTACATTTAGCTTCACATATAATTGCTATTAAAGATAATAAAAGCTATAACTGGTTAAAAAAAAAAAAAAGACAAGTCAGCCCATAAGACTAGGAGTGGTGTGGTGTGAAAATACAGCCACAACTTCTTTGATACTCTGTCTACAAAAAAGTAGAGTCCCGATCACATTCCCTAAAGTGTGGGCAGAAATGAATGATTCACATCTAATGAATGAAATGTGACAAAGTTGACAGAGCTACCCAGGTCCTCTTTGCTTTCTGTCTTGGGTTGTTTGCCCTGGAGGAAGCTGTTTGTCTTGAGGGAGCTCAAGTAGCCAAACAGCACAGCCAAAATGAGGGAGCCCTCTTGGAAGGAGATCCTTCAGCGCAAGTCACGCCTTCAGCTGACTGCACCCCTGCTCAAGGTCTCAACAGAAACTTCACACACGATCCTGTACCAGAACTATCCAACCAAGCCAATTCCTGATGCATGGAAACTGTGAGATGTTTATTGCTTTAAGCCACTAAATTTCAAGATAATTTGTTATATAGCAGGTGATAGGTAATATGAGGAAAAATAAGGAGGCCATCACCAAACACTGGGGTGACAATACATGGTTGTCATTGTACTCACTGTGGGCTGAATGTATGCCAGAGATAGAGCAGCTATCAGCCTTTTATGCATTCTGTCACCTAATTATCATGGCTTTATAAAGTAGATACTATTAACATTCTCTTTATCTAGATTAGTTAATGGAAGCATAGAAGGGTTAGGTAACTCACCCGAGGTAGGTCGTGTAGCTCAGAAGAAGTAAAGCAGAGAATGAACCCACCCACGTTATCAAAGTCAGAGCCATAAAGGCCATTATCAAAGGTGACGTTGAAAATATAAAGCTAAATTTCACTCATCAGTCCATAGGGTGTTTGAAATGAAGGCAAATCTTAGAAGTAATAGGAGCTTCCATTCAGGGATGGATAAAACGGATTTGATCTGTAAGATATCTGGTTTTAGGAAGAGAAGCCCCAATTCTGCTTGAATTTACAAAATGGCATGTGAAGACCAAAATGCTGATTGGATAAGGCACAGGTATAACAGCTCCTGGTCCTGTCAGATGTAAGCAATCACTATCCAGGAGATTTCAATCAATCCTAGAAATCAGTGGGAACATCCCTTGGTAATGCTGTGCTTCATAGTAGCTGGACTTCATTCAGCTTCATATAAAACACATTGCACAAGTTCCCGGTGTGTTCTTTTGGATGATCTAAAGGAAAAAGGATGACTACAGGGTACTTAGAGGACTTGATAAGGACCAGTTGAGTTAGGATAGTTCATAAGGGACTGTGGACTGGGCTCAGCAACATGGAGCTCTCTCTTGGGATGAGGGCTTCCAGCTTTTATTTGAGTTCCTCCTGAAGGGTTGTGTTGGGGAAAATGATCCTGAAGCAGACTACCCTCCTTAGAGCAGAGAATGGGCCCTGGCAATGTTTCCTAAGTTAGCTTATCACTTGGAGCCCTCACAGTGCAGGTTCTAGGAGTCAGAAGCTGGCACCTGTCACTCAAACACACCTCATTTCCCCCAGATCTGCTGAAGTCGTGGCAGCTCTCTATATTTCCCACAACAGCAGTAGCAGGGTACCTTCATGTGCACAGGCCATTTTCCATAAAGAGCTTGTGCCTAACTTTGTTTTCATGACGTTTTATCCATTTTTTTTTTAAAAAGCATATCCTCCAAATATAAGCTTTAGTCCCTATCCCCCCATCCCCATCTAAATTTATTCTTGTTGGTAAAACCTCTTGGTCTGAATAAAATTTACCAAGTCCTTCATAATGCCAAAGAGCTTGTGGTAGGCAGCTCTTTTGTTCTCTCGTCTTTCCCTTTCCCCTTGCCCTACCAAATTTCTTTGAATTCCTATGAGCTGCATTTTAACACTCAGAGTGAAATTATTCCATTTTTCTTTGCATATCTTTTGTCAACCATATGGATCAAAATTCTTTGCAGAATATAAAATTAGAAACAATCCGAAAGAGAAGCCACAGTGGAGCAAACAGCAGGATTCACTGAACATACTCCAATTAATGATAACAGAGAGAAGGGGACCTGACTGGGAGCTTTGGACTGTGCAGTCCCCTTAAGCATCTTGCTGAGCATGTGTGGGGACATCTGGCATTTCTGCTGTCATCAGCTGGAGCACACAACAGCATGCACAGCTCACATACACACATGCGAGCGTGCGCATACACCCCCACCCCCCCACCCCACCCCCCACACCCAGATGTGTATAAAAGACAGTTGTCTCCTGGTATTCACTCTCCCTGTTTCTTTAATAACAAAATCCCACCCAGGTTCTGGCAGGGCCTTGGTATAATGCACAGCATAAGACTCCTCTAATTATTATCATCTCTGGCAATTAGTTGTGGCCACATGACTAAGTTCTCAATGTGAAAGGTGAAAGTCAGGGATGTGTGTAATTTTTACACCAAAGGAGTGAAGTGAGGGGTGATGTTCTCCTTCTTCCACTCTCACTCCATCGCTGCTTAAAACATGGTTGCAGTGACCAGCATCTCAGCATGCAAAGGAAACCAAGGCCCTGGGGATGGCAAAATAACCAGAGAGAAGACTTGACATGAAGGATGTGGCAAAGCCACCATACTGACCAGGAAGCTTATACCTGGAGGGAAATGCACTTCCAGTTTATTTAAACCATTACTATGTTGGGTATGTTTAATGATACACACACACACACACACACAAATTAATTTCTATTAGAAATAGTTAAAATTTATATATATGTATATATATATAAATTTTGGAAAAAGATATCAGAAAGGGATAGTATTATCACAAATCAGTTCTGCCTAGGGAGGCATTAAACAGAGTAGGCGTATTCTATACATCCAGGTTTGGTGCACATTCAGAAATTGAATTCAGATTTTCTTAGGATCAAAGTTCACATTTGCTAAGTAAAAGAAAAAAATTTTGGTGATATAATAAAAGATATTCCTTTTAGTCTATAATTAAGCCCCAGGTTCTATAGCATTGCCACCAAAATGCCTGCAGTGATTAGACCAGCCTGGATATCACTAAATTACCCACTATACTGATTTCTTCTATGTTGTCTAGAACAAACTGTTCCAAATCCAGTTCCCTGTTTGGAAGAAGCTATCTCTAGTTATCATGTGTGACCACTAGTCACATATGGCCATTGAACTCTTGACGTGTGGCTACTATGAATTGAGGAATGAACATTTTAATTACTTCAAATTCATTTAAATTTAAATTTATGTAGCCATATGTGGCTAGTAGTTTTTTTCCTGGATAGTGAAGGCCCAGAGAATGAAATCCAAGTTTCTTACTTAGTAGAGCACAGCAGGTCTTCAGTGACATTTTCTCCATAGGCACTTTCCCACATGTACCTTTTGACCTAGCTCCATGGATCTAGGGCAATCACCCAAACATTCCATGTCCTTATAGATTCCAGGCATTTGCACATATTGTATACTTTGCCATCTCTGCCTGGTAAAGTAGTCTTTCTCAATTATTCAGGGCTCAATTCTAATGATATGTCTTTCAGAGGCCCTCCTTGGCCTTACCAGGCAGCACTAGCCATTCACTATTTTGCTTAGACTCCTTGCATTTTATTTCAGTATGTTTCATCCTGCATTTTGAGTGCTTAAATTTCTGCCTACCCTGAATGGATTGTGGAAAATCTCTTGAGGGCAACAAGTTGTATGTAATTCACTTTTGTATCCTATATAATTTCTGTCTGGTATGTGTTCAAAGAAAGTTTAATACTAGAATTAATTTCTATTAG